GGAGAGTCCAAGAAAATGAAAAATCTGGGGCTGAAGACAGGAGGCCTCTATGGGGCTAGCCATCCTCATGCTTGAGGTACTGTATTCCCTCCCCACCCCAGGCCAAGTGGCAGAACCAGGTCTTCAAAGCCCTATGGAAGGCCAGGAGTAAGGGAGCCAATTGCACCTCCGGGGGCAGAATGTTCCAAAGAGTAGGGGCTACCACAGAGAAGGCCTTCTCTGTAGCAACACCTGCACTCTGGAATGAAATTCCCTCCAAGATCTGGATGGCCCCCACTCTGCTGTTCTTTAGAAGAGCCATGAAGACTTGCCTTTTCACCCAGGCCTTTGGCAAGGGAGACTGAGACCACTCACCTTATTCCATCTGGTCTGTTGTGCTTTAATATTTTATTGATTTTATTGTAATTTCTTTGATTGTTGTGAGCCACACAGAGTTATTGAGAGTTGGGCAGCATACAAGTTTAATAAATTATATAATTTTAATTAAAATTAAATTTTCAGGGCAACTGCTTTACAGCTCATTTAAGAATGTTTTTCTATTATAGATATTAAATTCACTAAGCATGTGAATGCCACAATGCCAGTGGCTGAATTATCATTATGCTTATGTTGTGTACATTTACATTTTGCATGGAAATGTTGCAAATGTATTTCTTCTATTTTATTGTTTTTGGCTCCAGAGTTCAAAATTTTTTCTCTATACCTTATAAATGTAAATAAATAAATAAATAAATAAATAAATAAGTTCTCTCTTACATACAGGTAGTTTTCGACTTATGACCAGAATTTCCATCACTAAGTGATGCAGTTGTAAAGTAAATAAATAAATAAATAAATAAATAAATAAATAAGTTCTCTCTTACATACAGGTAGTTTTCGACTTATGACCAGAATTTCCATCACTAAGTGATGCAGTTGTAAAGCGCAACCACATCACTTAGTGACAGCAATACCCGCAGTCCTGGTTGCCGTCATTAACAGAATCCCACAGTCATTAGGCAAGGCAGCTTCCTACCAGCTTCCCACTATCAAGTCAGTGGGGAAGCCAGCAGGAAGTTACAAGTCCCAGGTGGCTTGCAAGCAATGCTGGTAGGCAGGTAAGTGGCTGCTGCTGGGTGGGTTTAGGGTTTGAGGGGTGTGCAAGGGAGGTACAGCAAGGCTTGGGGAGGTTGCAAGGGGGTACGCAAGGGTGCAAGGAAGGTGTGGTGAGGGTCAGGGAGGGTGCACAGGGGTGTGCGAGTGGCCGGCGAGGCACAAGTGCAGAGGGGCTGGGGGAGGGTTCACGGGTGGGGGGAGACTTACCCCAGTGACTTGCGACCTTCTCTGCCAGCCTCCCCATTGACTTTCTGGGGAAGCTGACAGAGAAGGTCGCAAATGGTGATCATGTGATCATGGGGTGTTGCAACTGGTCATAAGTGTGAGCCAGTTGCCAAGTGCCCAGGTCATGATCACATGACCGTGGGGGTCCTGGGACAGAATTCTGAGGACCAGTCATAACCACCATTCATTCAGCACCATCGTAACTTCAAACATCACTGAATGGTCATAAATCAAGGAATACCTGTATCTAATCCAAAGGCAGATAACCTAAGTAGTTTGGGCTGAATTCTGTCCAGTCCTGCCCATTATCCATGTTTATTTTGTCTTACAGTAGTTACAGTTCAACATACATGAAAATAACAAGCTACCTGCCCTGATCTTATCAAACAGTCAATTCAAAAAATATGGTAGAATAAAGTATTCATGTTAAGCATGAGAGGAATGAAAGAATTGGCTAACTTTCAAATAATTTCAAAGTGCAGATTCACTGGTTGACTTCTGGGCTACATTCTTGTTTCCCATCTGTAAAATGAGGAATGTGGAGTCCTTGGCGCTCTCTGAGCTTGGTTGTTTGCTTACAGATGTTTCATTACCCAACTAGGTACCATAATCAGTGCGAGTGAGTGTGGGGTTCCTTCATTAGGATATTATTTTCTGCTTGATTGTTTGCCTGGTGTTAATCCCTGCTTATCTGGGTGTTGGCTACTGGAGATGTGTTACTACCAAGGAGAAAAACACGCCCCCACCAACACTGGCAGGGCAAGCTACTGTATATAAACAGGGAACAAACCCCACACTCACTATTGTTCTTTGTTTTTAAATGTTTTAACGATTGTAAGCCCACTGGGAATTGGGTGGCATATACATTTAATAAATTATTATTAGTAGTGGTAGTATTAGTCTTTGTATCCCAGGAATTATTTTCAGCCTTGGTAGAGAGTGATGCAAAATGCTAATATATGAAGGTAAGCTACTAAAATAAACAATAATCATAATAAACATGAATTAAACTGTAGATGTTAATTCTATTTATTTTTTACACTAGTGACTACAGAGTTACAAAGCCATATGTGGAAAGTTTGAACATGTTGTTGTGGTATTAAGGAAGAAAAAAGTAAGTAGACTTTTGTCAAGTTTGGGCAAATAAGTACGAAGCATCCATTTTATTTCACTGCAAGAACTTGACATTCCTCAGTCATGAGAGTGGAAATTGCAGGCTTTAAGGAGTTCTGTCACAGAAAAACAGAAAGAAAGAAAACAAAATGTAAGAATCAAGAGACCAAAATAAACAAACTATGTTCTACAATAGCATAAAGTGGCCCAGAAACTGTTTTATCCTTAGGAAATGTAGTTAGAATCTTTTGCTTTACTGACCATTTCAGCCCAGCTTGAATCACTGCAGTCCTAAAATACCTAGAACTTGTCAGGTCAGGGAGGCTGAGGTACGGTGTCTCTTAAAGGGCAATTTGTGTGAAATAATGGGGGGGGGGCAGAAAAAATAGTTATCTAGCCATCTGATAACTGTATATTTAATTCCACATTTCTCTACAATTTGTTGGGAGCATAGAAACAAAAGAGATATATTCTACAGATAATGAGACTGAAAAGCCCTTCCAGAAGTGTATATTCTACCCTGCACCATTTAAATATTATCACTATTTTTAAATTATTCCTTAGTAAAGTTAAGGTCTATTAATTTAAAAAGAAGAAAGAAACAACAACACTATCCCAATTGGTTTCTTCTCCTTTATCTCTGGATAATTCAACAGAAGAGTTGAATAGTGAACAATGGAGAAAGAAAACCTTATGTCATCTTTACACCAGAAACAGGTGTGATATATTACTGCAATGAAGAAAACAACATGCCCAGAGCTCTTGATATATTGCTGTACAGAACCATCCAGAAATATTTCATATATTTGAAATACCTTTTCAATATAACCTATTACAACTAATATTTAATTTTTCCTTTGTCACAAATTATCTAATCCTTTGAAACCCTTTGACTAGAACTCGCAGTTTCCTGGTTTCTAGCCTGGTGCCTTAACCACTAGACCAAACTAGCTCTAACAAGCTAAGTAGTATAAAACTATATTGTTTGTCATGGGGAACATAAACCTAATGTGGCTGATTTCCAGTTCCAATCAGACCTAGCAATATAGCCGAAAGCAAGGTACAGTGTTAGTTACAATCTAGCAGTATCTGGAGATGCTTTCCTCCATCCTGTTTTACATTGTCAGAGTTATATTTATAACCTAGCTTGAAATTATGTTTCTGCCACTAAAATTGATGAATGTCATTCATCTTAATGTAAGACTGGTACCTGAAGGTGAACAGTTTGAGAGCCCATCAAGAGAATTCAGATATTCTTCCCCAAGATAGCTCTCAAATGTTTTTTCATTTGGAACAGCTAAGCATTCTGTGCCATCTTTGAACAAGCTATCTTTCGCTTCAGATTGGAACATCTGGAAGTCATCTGTCTGATTTCCATGGCTTCCAAACATTTTCTGTAAAAATTAACAAAAGCAGGATTTCATTAGTTATTATAACATTTAATAAATAATTTAAAAGATCCCAGTGAATGCATAGCATTTATTGTCCTTGGTACTATTCCTCCTTTTTATTTGTGCCTGTCATTTCTGCCAGGAATTTTATTATTGGAGTATTATGGATGCTTCTACCAGAGCTGATACACATGTCTCCCTGCGTATATTTGTAATATAACTTTACTATTAAACATAACAGTCCCCAGTTCAGAGCTTACCTGTTGCTCAAGTGCCACCATTTTAACAATTTCTGCTCGTTCAGGCCTTGAGACTACTGCATGATTGCAAACTTGGGCCAAAAAACATTTGCGATATTCATCATGAGCGCAACGATTACCATGTAGATCCAGAAGAACAAAATCAGAAGCACTTACGCCAGCTGCCCAAGCAGGTATGTTCTCTCCTATAAAAAATGATTAAGATTATTAAAAGAATAAGGATTTCCTGTACCACTATGCATATACTTTCCATATCATCCCTACTCCATGGAAAAGGGAGGTGGGACTTGGCCAGCTGCCCCCTCATGCCATTTCACATCCCACTGGTGATACAGTCTGTACAACAATGCAGTAGTTCCAAACTTCTTTGGACTGGTGTGCATATATAACATTTTGTCAGCGTGCTCATAAAATGGCTACCAGGGAAGCATGGACAGAAAACACCTAGGCAGAAATACCAGCAGTTCCTTTCACCAAATGCTTGCTATAATAACCAGCTTATCTTTTGTGTTTTTTCTGGACAACTATGCACATTCTAATAAACAAAGCCATGGGTTGAAGCTCCTTTTCATCTTTTAGGGACATGGAATCCAGAGGCATTTTTGGGCGTAAATGTGATGTTTTGTTTTGTAGCTTAACAGCTTCCCAAGTATGTATGTATGTTTTGTAGCTTAATAGTTTCCCGTGTGTGTGTGTGTGTGTGTGTGTGTGGAGAGAGAATGAACAAACAAACTAACTCATGGTCTCCCGGTTTCTAGCCTGATGCCTTAACCACTACACCAAACTGACTCTCATATGTATATGATGTGTATGTATATATATTTAATTAAAAGAATCTAACTAAGGAAAATATGTGGTGCAAGAGGTCTGCCAAGAACCACGAGTATTGTCCATCCACCTTGGTACCAATAGGAAGTATGCTGGAAAGATAGAAGCAGTATATGCAAAACCTCCTCTTGACAGATATTTGCAATAAGGCAGTGTTGTCAATACAGCTTGCAGTATCAAGTGTGGAGCCAGAAAGCTCTCCCTGCCACAAGTTAATTCTGTCCTATGAAAGAACAGCCAATAAGAAGGATGGGTACAGATCTGGATTTAAAGATGTAAATGAGATCTATTATATAGTTGAGGGTTATTAAACTCTTTATTCTCAGAGACCAGTCTAACAAAGATAATTTCTCTAATGCAGCTGTTAGTAGTACAAACCTCACAGTAATAAGAAAAATAATTTTAGTATGTTACAGTGAAATGCATACATTTTCATGTGATATTCAAAGTCCAAAATGGTATGACATGGTTAAAGATTGTATGACAAAATGGGCTCCTAATTTTGGAGATAACATAGAGATGGACACTTGGGAGAGAATGTGGGTAACTGTATTAAATTTACACTGTGTCATAATTTAAAAGAAAAATTTTATAAAATGATGTAACACTGATATATGACACCAGGGAAGTTATCAAAAACGTATAAAGGTATGTATTTCAAGCCAGTGTTGGAAATGTGAAAAGCATGAGAGGACCTTTTATAATGCATGGTGGATTTGTGAGAAAGCTAAGAAATTTTGAGTACAGTGTCATATAATGATGCAAAGGATCTTAAAAATTAATATTGCTAAGAATCCAAAACTTTTTTTATTGGGACTTATGAATAATGAATTACCAAAGACTAATGGTAAATTGATATTGTATATGGTAACTGCAGCAAGATTACTGAATGCACAATGATGGAAGAATAATGAAATTCCCACAGTGGAGAAATGGATTGTGAAAATGTCAGAATTTTCAGAAATGACAAAACTGACTAGTTTGGTCAGAGAACAAACAACAAATACTTTTTTGAAAGACTGGAAACCTTATATCAACTTTCTGCTGAAAGAAAAAAAAAAGAACTAATTATTTAGTTTGATTTATGGATTTGAAGATTAAGAAATATGCGGACTAAATGAGGGGGTAAAAGGATATGTAATATATTTAAGAGGGAGATGGGACGATAAGAATGTAATTATCTGTTGAAAAGGTCAGAAGTCATTTCTATGTTTCTTAACTTTAGTTTCGTTTTTTCTTTTCTGTTTTTCTTTCTTTAGTTTTTTTTTCCTTTTGGTTTTCCTTTTATTATATGAAAATTCTTAATAAATAAATATAAATAAATACAAAATGGTATAATGGAAGGAAGCTCATATGGAAGAGACTGAAAATTACAAACTTTTCCTTCACATTTAGAAATAAAGAGAAGCATAGATGTAATAGATTGGAAAAGTGTAGGATTTTCTCTTCTGGCTGCCAGGTGTTTTGAAGAGGAGCCAAACTTCTGGCAGATCAAAGTTCTTCCCTGTGTAGTAGACTCACAACTGTTTGAGAGCTGAACTGTGGGGCTGACAGAAAAAAGCAGAGTCCACTGAGGGCGAGAGCAATGTATAAGCAAAGGAGAAACAGCCTACAGTCTGAGATAAAAGACAAAGTTTACTTCCAAATGATTCAGCCATCTGGAATCTCTGAGACAGAGAAACAACTCCTTCCACATGAGCTGGTAGGCTAAGAAAATGCTATGTAAAAAGATTTGGAAAGAGACTGTAAAGCCAAAGCAGTTTAAAGAGAAGGGTAAACTACCTTAAAGGAGCAGAGGCAGAAAAAAAAGCAGAAAGAAAAAACTGGATTTGGCCTACAAAACAAAGACACTGGAATATGTTGTACTGTACACAGGTTACTAGGCTTATAAAAAAATATCTGGGTGTTGGTTAAGTTAGGTATAGAAGTAGGATTATGTTTATGTTAGTAAAATTTGCACTACCTGTGTATCTGTGGATCAATAAAGATAACTGTTTGAGGGTGAAACCTATTCTTACTTGTCTTTCCTTGCCTGTGCTGAAGCCACCCTAAACCAATGTTATAAATACACTGAATATTTCCAGGTATAAATTAATTTGTTTATCTGTGGATCAATAAAGATAACTGTTTGAGGGTGAAACCTATTCTTACTTGTCTTTCCTTGCCTGTGCTGAAGCCACCCTAAACCAATGTTTGGCAGACACTGAATATTTCCAGGTATAAATTAATTTGTTAGAACTTGAAAGCATTTCGGATAGATAAAATTGTCTGCATCTTAGCCATAGTTCACCAATAAGCCATCCCTATCTAACATACCCATTGTACAGGTAGTCCTCACTTAACAACAGTAACTGGGACTAGAATTTCCATCGCTAAGCAATGTGGTCATAAAGCACAACATAACATGACTGCACTTCAGTCCCAAGGACCGCAGGTCATTAAGCAAGGACCTCATATGACTGTGACTTGTGACTTCCTGTCAGCTTCCAACAAGCAAAGTCAGTGGGGAAGCTGGAAGGAAGTTGCAAGTCACTGTCATGACAAGCCTTTTCTTTTTAGGTGGCTTGCAAGCAGGCTGGCAGGCAAGAGCTACAGGCGGGCAAGAGCTATGGAGTGTGGGCAGGTGGGCGGATGCATGCTACCGAGTGCAGTTGGGGGGACAGGTGGGCGCTATGGATATGCACTATGGAGTGTGGGCAGGTGCTATGGGCATGCGCTACAGAGTGCTGGCAGGCAGGCAGCCACTACAGAGTGTGCGTGGGCACTATGGGCAGATGCATAATACAGAGTGCCTGTGGGTGGTCAGGCACTATGGAGTACGAGGCCCCCATGCCACCCAGGGGCTCCTTGGGAGAAAAAATGGCAGGAGCGAGAGTGACTTGCGGTCTTCTGCCAGCTTCCCCGTTGAATTTGCTTGGGGGAGCCGGCAGGGAAGGTCACAAATGGTGATCACGTGACCACAGGATGCTGCAACTGTCATAAGTACAAGCTGCTGCCAAGAGCCTGAATGGCAATTAGATGACTGTGGGGACTCTGCGACAGCCACAACTTCAAGGACCATTCATAAGTCCCCCTCGTTCAGTGCCGTTGGAACTTCGAACGGTCACTGAATGAGTGGTTGCTAAGTGAGACCTACCTGTACTGCTTTCTGTTTCAAGAACTTATCAAAACTAAGCTGATCCTTCAAATTGAACATTTGATGGGAGACAAAGTATTTGAGGCATGCAATAATGAGAGAATTTTCCTTTTTCTTTGCTGCTCTGTGGTTTCCAAGAACACAGATGCTTGTGGGATTTTCTGCCTGATGTCCCAAAATTGCTTGGCCAGGCTTGGGTTTTCTGCATCTCGACTTGAGTGGGTGCACTCAACTTTGTCTGGGACAACTCTGGCACAAAATGCCATGGGTTAACCCTGGCTGAAGAGTAACTGAGGTGGTTAACACACTCTATACTCTTTGGTGTGCTGTAATTCCCTTTTCAACTTGACAGTTCAGTGAGCATAGCATCCTAGCTAGTCTAAATGACATTACATGAATATGTAAACTGTCCAGAGGGAGAGTTGACTCACTCTGTTTTCCAGTACCTCTCACTAAGTACTGGATGTTGCTTTCTAACTCAACATGATTCTGGGTCACAGTTATTTTACATTACAAACATTATTATTATATTATAACCATTATTTTACATTACACCCATTACTCCTACAATCATCTTCAGACTACTATTTCTCAACTATCATAAATCAGATGATCAACAGTTCATATTTATTTTTATGACTCCATACCTTCTGTGACCTCAGTGATGGTGGTATGTTTAACAAAGCCTACATCTCCTTCTTCTATCAAGCATCTGGAAAATACAACCAGAGGAAAAGGTAAATGACACTTTTCATTTCTTGCCTTCCTCTTCTCAGAAATGATGTTGAAAATTATTCAAAAATAATTTAGGAGAAATAACCGTGTAAATATTCTTGCACTGTTAATATAATATTTTAATGAGAATTATAAATAGTTGTAAGCTGAAAGGAATCTACTCAATTTTTTATGATATTATAGCATTATGCTTGTGACTGCTTTCTACATGTTGGTATATAGTTTTTAACAGCCACATATAAGGACAGAATAATATGCTTACCTTGTGGAATAACAGTTATCAATATACCACTAGATGGGGTAATGATTGCATTAAAGAGGACTTCCAATCTATTTTCAATATTAAGGCTTTGTCTTGCAATGTGTGTTACAATATTTACAACAACAATAAAAATAACTATAAAAAGAAGAATGTTCATATGATCCTGTGCAGATCCTGACTGACTGACTGATCACAATCAAACTTCAACAGAAGACTCTAGCAGACACTAATCTTGTCTAGAAAGTGCACAATACAGAATCTTATATCTGCACAAGATTCTCAGTCTTAGGCATTATTTAAAATGTTATTGTTTTGGCAATTTCATTTCCCACAAAATAAAATAAAATAAAATAAAGAATATTTTTTAAAATCAGAAGGTAGAGTGACAGATTAAAGCAATACACATGATGATTTTGAATTGATGCCCTATAATATTTCCCATGGAAAGACTCAGGAAATGCTTCTGTAATTTTGAAACCTCAAGATAAGCTTCTCCCAAATCAGCTTCACTTGTTATCAGGGTGAAGGGTTGCATTTTCTTCTCCTGCAGGATGCTGACCAACTCACTTGTGTGAGCCATCTGAAACTATTTGCTCTGACAATTTACCCAGTTGCATCTACTCTCTCAGTTGATTAGACTTTTTAATTCCCACAAACATATAATACATAGATATGTTATTATAGGCTATCAATTATTGGTAACATCCATAGGAAGAAATCCTGAACTACAAGATGAAAAGTGAGGAATGATCAACAAGTGACTTCTCATTCATCTATCATATTCCAAGGAACAGCAACCTACCGAAAAGCACCATTATACCCATAGTATATCTCATTGCTGTTAGGTTTACACTTGTGTTTCTGAGAGAGGCCACCTTCACCGCCGCTACCTTTGCATAGTTTGCACAATGTAGACTCAGGAGGTGCTCCTGGCGCACAGCTTTCTGAGAAGAATTTATCTAGCATGGGATCAGAGAACAGGCATTTTAATACTTTTGTTTATATTCTTATAAAGTAACATACCCCATTTGGTTATCCACCAGATGTGTTAGATTTCACCTTGCATAATCCCCAGAAAGCATGGTCAGTGGCATCAGATTGGGGGCGGCCAACAATACTGTAGTTGTAATAAAGCTAAACATTGACACACTAGAACTTCAGAATCCAGACCCAAACCCCCAAAAAATTATTATTGGGAACCATGGCCAGCTTAAAAATGTCAACTTCAAAATTCTGTCTTTTCAAAATATATAATTGACAACGTATCACATTACAAATTAAGGAAATACCAGCAACAGAGTTCCTTAAGAGGTACTGACATGAACACATATAATTTGCTCTCAGCCATATTAGGTTAAACAGAAAAGGCTGTGCTTGTACTTGATACAAATCATTTTCAAAGCATGACCAACTCCAGTATAGAGGATCAGTTGGAGAGGTGATAGGGTGGAAGGAGCAAACTCACCACTTTACCTTCTGGAAAAAGCGTATTTTGTGATTGGCTGTGTTCATAAAGGCAGCCATTTTATGAACAGGCAAGCCTTCCTATTGGTAGCCATTTTGTGATAATACCCACAAGCATATTTTCACAAATCAGAAGGAATCCAGATGATTAAATGGGTTAAAAACTTTGGACACAGTATCATGTTGGAACAATGGGAAAATATGTGGAACAAAGATTTGAAATTTATGTTGGATTATAATTTAAAAGAACATTTTTATAAAATGATGTACCGTTGGTATTTAACTCCTGATAAGTTGTCAGAAATGTATCCTGGTATAACAAATGTTTGTTGGAAATGTTCACAGGGTGAA